CAATTTTGGAGCGCACACATTACTATTTTATAATTAGTTTTCTATTTATTCAAAGTGGGAGCGAAATCAATTGATTTTTTTTTATTTCAGCCTTAATCATAATTTTATAAGTTACATATATGGGATCTCATTTAAAAATTTTAAAGCGATTGAATAAATTGAATTGAAACAGAAGCGTTAAATGGTTTTAAAAATATTATGCAACATAGAAAGTTTGTGGAAAAAGGGAGATTATATAAGTATAACTTCAATTGCCCTTTCTTTCTGCATTCCTCTAATGCTTTAAGCCTTTATTTCCTTGCCTGTAATTTAATTTAATTAATGAATTCTAGACACTTTAATTAGAAATGTTTGTAGCCTTATATTATTGAAAATTTTTTCGAAGTTGCCCGTCTAGTTATTTTTAAATTATTCCCCTCTAGAATTGCAAATGGTACTTGGCAATAAAATCATAACTATATACAATGCCATTTATAATACATTAATTAGACGAATATTCCCTTATAACGGAAGGAACTATATATTTTGGATTATCTACATTCTTAAATTTAGAATTAAAATTTTTGATTTCCTAAATTTGTAAGAAGAGATTTAGAGGATATTAAAATTTACTTTTAAAAAGAAAATTATAGTGAAGATTCCGCTGGTGATATTTTTAACAATTACAGGTTTAAACAAGAAACTTTCCCCGAGGGACCCATTTTTACATTTTTTGAAATTCATTAAAGAAATTTATTGAAATTTAACATTACAGTTACGTGCACCACCGAAAAAAGTGAACTTTTACCAAAAACCAGATTTAGATTTTTGAAGCTATATAAAACTTACTAGTTGTCTTAAAATTTGGAAAAAGTATTTAATGAATATTATCATAACCTTATGCAATCCTTTCGCTTAACTAGAAAAAAGATTTCGTGCTCGGTTATGTACTGATCTTATCAGATTTTTTATATTGTCTTTGCTTTTGATTAGCTATTGATTGCTAATGATTGCAGTTGGACGTTTATTATATATTTGATAAACGGCGTTAAAAATATTCAACTGGTCTTTTTAACTGTTCTATTTTCAGTATCTGTTACTTGAAGTTGTACAAATTTGAAATGAAAAGAAGATATATATTAACTCTACAGATGAAATAACCATCGCGTTTTATAACAACGATTTATTTCAATCATCTATTCAATATGCTGGCATGATTTTTGAAAACAGCTTCAATGATTTTTGGACGAATGCATTTTAAGAAATTTGAAAATCTTTTTATGGTGAACTTGCATTATTACTTTGAATAACTAAACTTAATGACTTAAATTAAAAACGTGACACTTAAAAATTTCTTAAAAATTTTTCAAGTATCTTTCATCCTTACAAAGTGCTCAAATTTGCTATGTTCTTCTATTTTTTCGCTTTTTTTGCAAAACCATAATATTAGGATAAGCTTATATGGTTTCACTATTTTATTAAATTTGCGGAAGTAACGGCAAATTTCGAATTTTAAACGTTTCTTTTAAAAAACGTTTCTATTGTAACGTTTCTTTTAAATTTTCCTTCTCGTCCTAAAAGTATGCAACAATTATTTAATTGTACAGTATAATATTTTCAAGTATTATTCAATGAAAATAATTTATGTATAGAAGCTGAATGAAGATTATTTTTCAAAACAAAAAAAAAATTTACATATGTTAAAGGGAATGTGCTACTTTACAAACCATTGGTTTGACCCAAATATCTTTTTTATTCAAACCTATGCAATTTTCGTACAAATTTAAGGCACTTTTTGTTTTGGTTTTTATTTAAGTAAGCATAATATACAAATGTGTACAAATGTACATGCATAACATATAGAAAAATAATTACTGAACGCAACCAAACAAAAGCTTTTTATTTTTCACAAAGTACGTATGTGTGTACATAAGGTACATAGCATAGTTTCACGTTCAGTATATCAAAAATTATTGCAGTTTTTTTTTTTCTTTTTAATATGAAACGAATCATAACATTGTTATCTGTATTCAAGAAAACAAAACTTGTGATTAAAGTATAAACAGTATAAAAATAAAAATGATTCATCAATTAAAATATACGTATGTAAAAAATATAACATCACAATATGTAAACAAAAGTCATGAAAACTGTAGATTCTCGAATAAACAAAATTTATGAAATATTTTCATTATAAATTTTACATAAACACTTGCTTATAGTAAGTGTATTGTTTTCGTAATATTTGAAAATTAATGTAGAAACGCCACGGCAACTCGTAGGAGTAAAATAAATATATGTATTTGTGTAGTAAAACAACACAAGACTTTTTTTTTGTTCCTTAACCTACTAAATTAATTGTTATGGCAAAATGCTAACTTTCTTAACCATTTGAGAGAATTTACACTCTGCCATACCAATAATCATGTCAGAATTATTTTCATAGTACATTGTTTTTATTTTGTAATCAAGTCGTATGAATTTTAATTTTTGATTTACTTTTTTAAATGAAAATGTGCTCTTTTACAAACCATGCTTCTAATCGACACTACTTTTTAGCACTTTTCCAAAAACTTTTTCAAAAAAGATGCTTTTTAGTTTCACTCTGTTCGTCCATCCGTCGCCCGCGGACCCATTTACCAAACTTCTTAACCCGTTTATCTAACTCCTTAAGATATACTGCTAAAATTTTACATACATATATATTCATATATGTAAATAGATCTTTGCTAGAAACTTATTTCCGTACAGGAAATTTTTTATTTATTTTCCCCGTTTCAAAATTTATAGGCCCTTAAATTTCTAAAAGTTCCATTTTTTGATTATAGCCATTCCATCAAAAAATATAATTATTTATTTTTACTCATGCAAGTAACCCTTCAATTTGACCGTTACGTTAACGTCTCTTTCAATTTTTTCTTGTCTCATCCCAAATGTATACAATCATTTAAAATATTTTGATATATGAATAAAAGTAATTTAAATAATGTAATACATTGTTCTTAAGAAAAGATTTTTAAGAACAAGAAGATTAAGACGAAATTTTCTTGTTCAAGGGAAAAGTAATACTTTACAAACCATTGGTTTAACACAACTTTATTGTTTTTAACTTATTAGCAAAGTTAAGAATTGTATTTTCAGTTTATTCGATTACTGCTATGGCGCGTTTTATAGATTTTAGATATTAAAAATATTTTGTTTATTTATTTTGGATATAAAAAAACACTTACGCTTATATGAAATCTAAAAATGAACTTGAACGTGACTCTATTAATAATAAGTACAAAGCTTTTTATTGGGCAAAAAATCAACTTAAAACAAAAAAAAATACAACATTTTCAAATTGTGTTCTCCCTATTTTCTTCCTATAAAATCATAATAGTTGTTATTTATGGAAAAATTTAAAACATTCATATTCGAATCGACACAACAGTCAAGTTACAGTCCCGTTATTCTTCGCGAATCTTAAATATACTGAGATCAGTTAAATTAATAATTTCCTCTGTTTGCTTTCATTTCTTATTTCAACCTGATACTTTTACCTAAAAACTGAGTTTATTTCATCTTGAAAAATTCTGTACAAATTTTTTAACTTAACTTGCCCGAAATAATTACTTTTGGCTGTATTGATGATTGCCACAGATTTTAAAATCTGAAAATGTCAAGTTTTTTTTCCTTATAAGTTTTTGTTCCTTTTCCATTTCTATTAAATATTAAGCTTTTGCATTTTTTTATACTTTAGGTTTTTTTATTATCTTGGTAGTGTAATTTCATATTGGAAGAATATGAACCATGACAACTGATATTGGAATCATTTAATTAATCAATTAGTTCACATGATATTTAATTTTTCATATAGCATATTAATAGGCGATCTGGGGCTTATTATTTTTTGTATGTTAACTATCACATTTGCTTTTATAGTTATAGATAATCATAGAGTCATCTAATTTAGTTAAGCTACAACTACATAACTACAACTATATATTTCCTAATATGCAGCTATCTTAAATACTTCATAATCTTAAATAGTATGATAGTGCGTACCATCATACAAGCTATGAATTAAAAAATAGTACTATATATTGCGTAGCTGTATATAATAACAAATTTTAGGAAATATTTGATACTGTGCAAATATTTTCTTATATCGTATGATAGTGAAAAGAAATGTAATGTGTAACATATACGCGTAAATCTGAAATACTTTGAACATTATAATCACCGTGATATCGTTTTAAACGTAACCAAGCGGTACGAAGCTATGATATATTATCGCTCAGTTATTCATCTTAATGTTTAATTAAACTTTTCCGTTGTATGAGAAGCATTTCGCTATTTCTGTGTTTCGATGTAATTATAATAGTCAAAAAATGGCATAGCTTGTAAAGCTTAGTGTAGCGAGAGAGGTAAAAATTTGTTTCTAGTTAAATATGTATGTGCATTACTTTAAAAAAAATAAAGTTTCAGCTTTCTACATTAAAAGGCTTAGAAGCTTTTTAAACAGACATACCAACGGATTGTTAGAAAATAATTAAAACTAATAAATTAAAAAAAAAATATTTAAGGATTTATACTTACTTAATGAAGCTTCTATGTAATTTAATTAAAATATTAAATTTCCCTTTTTTGCTCCATATATTTACGAATACGAATTCGTAAATTTCTAATTAAACAATAAAATTAGAAATTTAATATTCTTCAATTTAGTAATGAATTTAGCCTTTGATAAAATTCCGTTTGTAAATAAGTAAAGCAAAGCATTTGGGACACTAAGCGAACTAAGAGCTTCTTTATAGACAATTTGGCAAATTTAGAGTACAGAAGTAACGTGCAATTATTTTTATTGAAATTGAATGGAATTTTCAATGGAATTTAGCAAAATTTTTTAATTTAAATTACTTGGCAATACTAGAATATCAATAATAATTTCAAATTCTCTTTCTTTGTTGAGAGAAATTTGTTTTCTGTACAACAAAAAGCATTTAAATTTTTATTTTTAGTTTAGTATAAATTCACGTGCCTTTGGTATCGGTTTACTTTTACTAGTGAAGTATTGGAAGTAAAGTAATATTTGTGATATTGAAATAAAAAAAAAAGAGAACTAAACGAGTTTTCAAATTAAAATTATTTATTGAGAAAAAAATATAAAAATAAACTTTTTGCTTTCACATATTTTTAAATTTACTTAACATTAAAGTGCCACATTTTCATTAAAAAATTGTATTTACATTTTACTGTAAATAAGTAGCTATCTTAGCCTAGTGTATTGAAAAAGTTCAAATTTTTTGAATTAAATTAAAGTGAGTGAAAGTTAATTAAAAATTAATTAAAACAAAAAGCAAGTAATAAAATTTAATTATAATAAAATAAACTGTATTTGATATAGAAGTAGGTATAATTATAATACAATTAGGTGATATGTTCTCACATGTATATGTATGTACATATGTGTGTGCATACTAAAGCATACGAATGTGATATATAAATTGTGTGTGAGCAATCTACATTGTATAAGAAAAAATCTTAATATACATATGTATACAATTTAGTATAAGTATGTTCAATGTTCGTAGGATAATTAAAACGAAAATTAAATTATTTGAAAATTCTAGCTGTTAAGTGTACCCAGCAAATCATCATAGGGGTTCATAAAGTAATGTGATAATAGATTCTGTAAGTGACTTAGGTATATATGTATGTATGTATAATCTCGAAATAATGTAATTTATAATATCGATACATACAAGTTACCGCAACACAACAATAGTGGTTAAGTGAGGTGTCAGCGCGTCACAAAAATTTTGTTATACATACTATTTTTGATTATCTTGATTGAATCACGCATTATGATTTATACTTTTTTACTTTATTACTAATTACACTTGTTAAATGAAAAATTTAAAGTAACAAAAATAATTAAAAAAAAAATAGTACAGGGCGTGTTTTAAGGCACATTTAAAGTTAATAGTCTCAATTTACCAAAATTTAGTTAATATTTACACAGCTAACATCAAAAAGAAATTTGTGTTTTGGCCCTTATATAATTTTAATTTATTTTCCGATATTTTAACAAATATTTTAAGATATTTTAATTAATTTATGTCACGTAAAATTGAAAAGTAATTTTCTAGATATAGGTATATAGATATATATGTACATACATATATAGTATACCTAGAAAATTACAATATTAAATTAGAAGAAATATTTAATGGTTGAATGTTTATTTTATTTTGAAAGCTTTTATAATTTGATAGTGATCTTTTGATAAAATGCAAGAGATTCATATGTAGACTACCTTCATACTAGCATACATACATATGTATATAGACTTACATCAGTTTAAAGAAGTTTTAAGTTTTTTGTTTTTTACAAAGCTTCTCGTATTTTATATAGCTGGCCTATGAAGATATTGACGAATGAGAAATTCCATATTTTGTTAACTTGCACCAAATAAATTTGTTTTACGTCATTATTTACACGAAAATGATTATTTATTATTTTCATAAACTTTGTGTCGACTGAGATGACTAATTCCTATGCGTCAATAAGTATATTATAATATACATGCATACATAAAATCTCTATTGTTACAAATTTATACATATACCCAAACAATATATACATACATACATAATTTGGTAAAATACTTTAACATTGAAATTTGTAACTTTTAAAGAAAAATCTTAAGAAAATTACATTACGTCAGCATTATTCCAAATAACTACACGTCTGTTACACCAATACATATTGAATCTCTATTTTAAATATGGTATCCAGTATTAAAAGAGTACATAAGTAGTATACCTAGTAAAAAGTAGGAACTTGATTTTTATTAAAATAATAAAATATTAATTAACATAAATAATATACCTAATGTACATTTAACATAATTTACTATTATGCTATGATATACATACTTACATTTGTATGTAAAACGCTATTTACTAATGTCATTATATGTATATTTAAGTAAAAAATCATAAAATTGAAAACTAAATATTAATCGACTCATGATATCGCAACCATAATACTTTGTGGTGAAATGTACCACCAAACTTACTTAGTAAAGACAATCTACTTAACTATACATATATAGTGTCATTTTAAGAAACCCGATTTCATTACCTCAGTTAAAATTTTCTGGCGGTTTTATCTCTTATTTACTTATATTTTATAATATTCATCAACTCAAATCCGAAAGAATATTAAGGATAACTATACATGCCGTTACTATATTTTATAAATTTTTCTTTTTTTCTGTCTACCACTTTTTCAAGAAAATCGGAAGAAGTGTGCTCATTACTTTCACTCTGCTATCCGTGCTTTTGTTTTTCAAAACCTTCACCTTATTTTAGATAGGTAGATTATACATATATAAATAGATTTCGTTGAACACCCTGTTTCTCCTTTTCTCATCCTAGCAGTATATAATCACGACTTATTTTTTGCATACATGTATATTATGTATTTATGAGAATAATTTTCTTTCAAAGTTTTCCCACTTGCTGAAAGGAAGTTTGCTACTTTACAAACTTTTTGCTTGATAAAAGTAAATTTATCATGTGTTTTCATTTTAAAGCGGTTTTATTTTATTTTTCAAAAGACTTCATGCCTAATAACTTTTATAAAAATTTATTAAACAAAATATTTTAAGAAACATCTGAATTTAACCGCATTTCTATACTCGTATTCATCTGTTTTTGGAAAATGTATATAAGTAAATAGGAAACGCTACTGGGAAACATAAAGGACTTATGCTTTTACAGTATTGGATAGAAACAGTAAACGTACTAATAATGTGTCCCATAAGCCTTCTAATTTCATTTTATTTGCAAAACTTTGAAAATTAAAAATATAATTTATGTATGTATGCAGTTATTATTTCATTAGTTCTTTCCATCTAATTCTTATTGCGAACTTATGAACATAAATACAATTTACTTAAACTCTTATAGAAGTATTGCGGCTTAATATTATGAAGATACTTTCACATCAGCCATCAACTATGATTTTACTAAATGTTTTTATGTCTTTTACAATTACCTACGTGTATACTATGCCTACACTCATTTCTATGTGTATATGTATCAGCATTATAAAATACGACTCTAAAATACATATGAGACACAATTATAGTTTAAAGTTGATCTTGATTTTTATATAATAAAAAATTATTTAATTTATGTTTTTTATTTTCTTATAAGAATATAAAGAAAAGTTTATCTTAAATTTTACATTTTCATATGTGAATGTACATATAGATGTATATACATATATGTACATATTTGCACAATATAGTGTATGTGTTTTATGTGCTTATATGGGTGTGCTCACAATATCTTTTTATATCAATATGTAATAAGATAATAATTAAATAGTCATTGGTAAATATTCAAATTAGAAAATTAAATAATATGCCCAAGCAGAGTAGAGAACTAGAGAATATAATGAAGTCGATGCCTCGAAATTGCTAAATTTTTGCGTAAATATATGTTTAAAAAAATTTTAATAACACGATATCAAAAGATAAACGTAGTTGACATTTAGAAAATTAAAAAAAATTAGTAATATTTTAGAAAAGAGGCGTTAAAAGAACTAGAATTCCGATTTAGAAGTTATTAAAAAAGCGACTAGAAAAGATTTAAACAATCCAATACTTATGGTTTTGTTTTGTAAGTTTCTACTTCTGATTATTAAACATTTTCATTGAAAAAATTTTCCTCATTATTTTTTCTTACTACAATACTAAAGCACAAGAATATTTATAAAGAATTTTGAATGAAAACACTACAATTTACGGAAAAATGTTTTATTTGCAACGCATTTTATCTAATTAAACATTTTCTTTTATTATCGAAATTGATGCATAATTATGTTTAAATGTGTTTGTTTCTATGTATATAATACCTATGTATGTAAAAATAAATAAATAATAACAATACACGTACTGGTACTGGTAACATTTATGTATGTACATATCAAGACATTCGGTCGTCACTATTGAAAAACAAAGTTTATCAAATTATTGTTGAAGTGCAAAATAAATTTTTCGAATAATTTGTTCGAAGTTTACATAAATGCAATAGATTAAATGATCAAAGTGTTAATTCATAGTACAGATAATAAATAAAATGAGATTCTAGAGTTTTTGACTTTTAAAGGAATGTACAGTTTCTTAATTCATATGAAAAATAAAATATACTCGTACCAAGATTCTTAACCATATACCTATTAATAAAATCAATTTTTTTGCATAGTAACAAATTTAAAAGTTCGCTCACTAAATACAAATTATATAAAATATTTTATTGCCAAAGAAAAACAAAAGAACATATTTTTTAAATACTCCTAGCTTGTTCGTAACGTGATTAGTATAGTATTTCTGTGAAAAAGAATTTCTATAGAGTATATTTATAAAAATATTTAGTTATAATATATTTTATGAAATATTTACATATGTACGAGTATACATATTCATGTACTCAGTTATTCGTTCACCTATTTTTAATTGCTAAAATAACGAAATATTCAAATAAACACGATCGAAAAAATTTTCATTAGTTTTGCTAAAATTAAAGAAGTTTTCGTGATGTTTTCTAGATTTTTCATAGTACACTTTTAGTGTGAAGTATTCATGTTCATAAGAACTTCTAATAAATTTAGTGATACCTTCGAATACATGTTAAAAGTCGATATTATACAAACGTAATACACATGTAAAGTAATTAGTATTTAATTTGAGAATAATAAAATTCGCACTTAAATGAACTCTCGTACGTATATATAGAATTTCTACTTAAAATATTGTTTATTATAGAGACAGACATAACAAAAATACAAATTTAGTTTATTTTTCACACTTTACACATAAATGTGTGTACACTTATGTGCACACATATAGAAATTATATACATGTACTAAGAGACCCATGTATGTATGAACGAATGTAGGCACTTACATTTCAACCTGCAGATTATTTTCATATATGAAAAGGAAAAGTTATAACAAAAGAATATTTTAAATTTATTTTAAATGTTTTCTATAAAAGTATAGCAGTTTAAGGGAAATTTATTCAAAAAAAAACTTATGTAAGATAAAATTTTTAAATCAATTTACAAAAAATAACGTATAAAACGCTCAAATAATAAATATTTCATATACAAATTTGAAATTTATCGCGTAATTTTATGCGATTATAAATTGGAAAACATCTGTAAATAAAAAAATAATCTAAAAAAACATACACTAAATGTATTAAAGACGAAAAAATAAATAATTTCCATTTCAATACCTTAAAAACTTTTAATCTCCATTTTAAATTTGAAATTGTAAAATGAATGCAAAATTATGATTAATTTTGTAAGTACATACATACATACATATTT